GTCCTGGGTGTAGCTGGCTGCTCTGCCCTGCTTGTCTCCCTGACTCTGGTTGTGTTCCCCATGCCTAGTTGCTCTGTGCCTCTTTTTTTTACCTGTTTACCTGTTATCAGAGTGAGGTTACAGTGCTGCAAGCTTCAATCCAGGTGCAACCAGCATTCAGCTCAGGCTGGCCAAGACCCCCAACAGAAGCCATCGATCTCCCATGTGAGATACCCACCGTGAGGGAGGACTGGCAGGGTGGCCACGTTTTGACCCTTTTGCAGCCCCAGTTTAAAGCACACACCCAAGGACAGTGGCTGAACAGCTTCAAGCTCTGCCCCATCCCAGCTGTGCCTGCTGCAGCCACCCAAAGCCAGTGTCAAGAGGATGCTCTGGCTCCTGTGATGACCCCAAGGGACTGTTTATTTAGCACCCATGCCCCTTGGGATGGCATCGCCCCTCCCAGAAAGTCAGAGCTGCTGCCAGGGGCAGCAGGAGGAGGGCATGAAGCAGGCAGGGCTGGATTTGGAGGTTCAGGGTGCTCCAGGGGTGACCAGCACGGTGACAGGGTTCGGCGTGACCGGTGGTTTTGCCAGGAGATGGCACTGTTTAGCGGCTAATCACGCCGGTGGCCCAAATCTGGACTCGGATGGAGGCGAAGTGGTGCCTCCTGCCCTGGGCCAGGCTGGGGGCAAGTACCGGCACCCCCGAGGAGTGGGAAGGACAAGGACAGCGTGTTTTCGATGCTGGATTGCATTTACCTGCCAAACCTGGCCGGATTTCCCTGCAGACCACAAAACCCTGTGGCTTGGTGGCTGCTCGGGGGTGCCTGCCATCAGGCAAGCTCTGGGCAGCACTGTGGGGGTGCGAGGATGAGGGGGGCACCTGGGGTGACAGCTCGGCTGTTTGGGGAGCAGGGCACACTGGTTTTATCTCTGGGTCAGCTGCCAACCGTCTCGGTGACCTCCTGGCCCATGGTGGTCCCTGGAGTGGTCTGGGGACCTGGATGGTACCTCCACACTGAAGGCTGGAGCAGTGGGGAAAAGCCAAGGTCCCGCCAGCAGCCTGCAGCAGGGGTTGGTGTGATGCAAACCGCAGGTTTAAGGCAGAAAGCAGCTGCTTTGGAGGCGTGTGTGCGTGTGTGTGTGTGTGTGTGTGTGTCTGTGTCTGTGTCTGTGTCTGTGTGTTGTTTTACCTGAATTTCACTCCCTAGAACCCAGAGCTGTGATTACGCAACAGGGGTGGCCAAAACACTTGATGGTGGCAGGGCAGTGCCAGCCCTGTATGTGTCCCCGCCAGAGACTGGGGCCAGGTGAGTTTTTAATCTCTTGGTTCTGGCTCTGTTAGCATGTATCTTCAGGGTCTTTTGGGTGCCAGCAGAACAAGCCCACCCTTTCTCCGTCCCCAGCCTCACGGTGCCCAGGGAGGTACTGGCACCCTGCTCACTCCAGGTGGCTGCATGATGCTGGGGCCGGTGCGTGCCTGGGGCTGGCGGCCACGTTAGCACTTCCCAGTCCAGCTGATCCTGTCCCTGACGTCAGCCCAACATCTGGGCCAAGCTGCTGCTCTGAGCGCAGGCAGCTGGGCTGGCAGGAGCTGCTCAGCCCCCCTCAGCCCCCACCACCCCTGGAAAGCGGCCACCCCAAAAATTGGCCAGCAAAGGAATTTGGTGCTGCACACCATCAGGGCACAGCCTCTATCCCCACACTGACATCAGGTTCGGCTGGGTCCCCGTGACCTGACAGGAGTACCCAGAGCTGAGGAGAACATCCGCAGAGCCTGGGGGGACCGCTTCCTCAGGGCAGGGGCTGCAGGAAGCACTCAAGAAGCCAGCAGCAGATCTTACCAAACCTTTTTAGAGCCAACAAATAACCTCAATTAAGTTCTGTGGCAGTGACCGATTCCAGCCGTGTAGTGATATTGGCTCTTTCAATTTTTAAGTGGCTCGAAATAGCAAGACCCGTAGTCAGGGCGGGGTAACACTAGCCCCCTCCATGCCCCTGGGGCCACTCTGCTGCCCCTCATCTTTGGGGAGTGGAGCCCCAATACTGGCCAAGCTGCCAACCTGCAACTCAGACAGCCCTCTCCTGCACTGAGATCTGAGGAAACTGGGAGACAGTGTCTCCAGTTTAGTTAATTTTGGCCAAGGACTCTTGCTCAAGCTTCCCTCTCTCTCACCCACCATGTCCCCGCTGCCCTCCTTTTAGGCCAGGAGAAGAAGCTGACAGCATCACCTGCCAGGTACCCATGGGGTACCACAGGGACCAGCTGCAGAGCTGAGGGGAGCAAGAACTGAGACAAAAATGTGAATGCCCACCATGCCCAGGCAGGGCATTGGTGGGCAGAGCACATGGAAAGCCAAGGATGGGGGTCTGACCCATCCAACCCCCCCCAGCCAGCCCAGCCAGTACTGCACACACACCCGGCACAACCTGAATTCACGCTGACATGGGCAGAGCGGGCAGGGGGAGCCTGGCCTTGGGGAAAGTTGGCATGGCAGCCCTGGCTGGGGGCCCGCCCGGGCACTGGCAGGGAGCCCAGCGAGCAGCTCTTGCCTGCTGAAGCTCCGTGATGCTCTCAGGTTTCCCAGCAGCAACCTCAGCCTGAGCATGGCCCAGTTACACCAGTGTGTGAAATGGGGAGGAGATCAGGATGGATGAAAACACCCTGGCTTCTCCAAAACCAGGTTTTGCACCCAAAAAAAGCAAAATAAAAGCCAACAACCTGTTTCTGTCACTGGTGTCTCCTGAACACCCTCTGGCTGATGTAGCGGCCCCAGGAGGATGCTATTATGCTGTTAACAGAAGGAGAAACTGAGGCATAGGTGGCTTTTGCATTTCCCCAGCTGAGAAGGGAGCCAGAGAGGACAGGCAGCCCAGCAGGCAGGCAGGCAGGGTGGCAGCGCTGTCGGCTGTGCTCCGTCGGACTGTGGTGCAGGGACAGGGGCTGGCCCAGCCTCACCGGCTGCAGGAATTTTGCTCTGCTGCCAACTCCAGACAAATCCCTTTTATTTGCTTGTTCAGGTTTCGATGCCATAATTGAATCATCTGATCCAGCTCTTGAGAGAAAGAGGAAGAAAAGGAGAAAAAGAGAGAAAAAGAGAGAAAGAGAGAGAGAAAGAGAGAGAGAAAGAGAGAAAGAGAGAGAGAGAGAAAGAGAAAGAGAGAGAGAAAGAGAGAAAGAGAGAGAGAAAGAGAGAAAGAGAGAAAGAGAGAAAGAGAGAAAGAGAGAAAGAGAGAAAGAGAGAAAGAGAGAAAGAGAGAAAGAGAGAGAGAGAGAAAGAGAGAAAGAGAGAAAGAGAGAAAGAGAGAAAGAGAGAAAGAGAGAAAGAGAGAAAGAGAGAAAGAGAGAAAGAGAGAAAGAGAGAAAGAGAGAAAGAGAGAAAGAGAGAAAGAGAGAAAGAGAGAAAGAGAGAAAGAGAGAAAGAGAGAAAGAGAGAAAGAGAGAAAGAGAGAAAGAGAGAAAGAGAGAAAGAGAGAAAGAGAGAAAGAGAGAAAGAGAGAAAGAGAGAAAGAGAGAAAGAGAGAAAGAGAGAAAGAGAGAAAGAGAGAAAGAGAGAAAGAGAGAAAGAGAGAAAGAGAGAAAGAGAGAAAGAGAGAAAGAGAGAAAGAGAGAAAGAGAGAAAGAGAGAAAGAGAGAAAGAGAGAAAGAGAGAAAGAGAGAAAGAGAGAAAGAGAGAAAGAGAGAAAGAGAGAAAGAGAGAAAGAGAGAAAGAGAGAAAGAGAGAAAGAGAGAAAGAGAGAAAGAGAGAAAGAGAGAAAGAGAGAAAGAGAGAAAGAGAGAAAGAGAGAAAGAGAGAAA